ATATATATATATAAAGGGCTGGGGATGTGACTCAGTGATAAAATGCCTTTGGATTCAATCCCCAGTACAAAAAAAAAAAAACAAACAAAAAAGATATAAAATACATATTAATCTTATATTTACTTGGATATTCAGTGTAGATAGCCTAAATTCTTATTCACTTCTTCTCACATTTTTTTTCCTAGTTAGAAACGACCAACTGTTTATAAGACAATTCATATAGAAACATAAGGAGAGATCCAAAAATCACTTCTTTTTCACACACTAAGGAAAAGGGCTTAAGGAAGTCTCAAAAATCTTTTAATTTAAAAATATCGATTTATCTATAATTTTTCCATTAGAGATGTGGGTTTTCTTGGCTCTGTTTTTAAAAAGACACACACCATCTGGGCAATCTCAAGACACCTAGCTTCTATGTGATGCTAAATTCACTGTGAACAGAGTCTGGCGTCACCAAGGACCGCCTCCGTGGCCCTTGAAACTGCTGCCTGGGAACAAGCTATTCGCTGCTGAGCCCTTCACAAAATCTTCGCATGAGGGCGCCTTTGCAGACGCAGGCCACGGACCGCGCGGCGACGTGAGCATGGCCAGCTCAGCACGCGGCGTCCTCCCTGCCAAGAGCCCCGTCATGGGCGGGGGAGGACCCGGAGCCGTTTTCACCTCATTAAAATATAGAAATGATTAAAATAAACAAGCATATATACATATAACATGATATATATGTATGTATATGTATATGTATATATATGTATACGTATTTAAAGGGCTATTTCTTTCTGCTCACACGCCCCACGTAAGATTCCCAGGCTCTGGGAACTCTTTCGGTACAACCCACGGGAAACGGAAATGGCTTCTCCCACGCCAGCGCGCATGTCACATTGCATTGCCGCCTCGCAGGGGTCCTCTTTTGGAGCTGTCCTAAGTGTTGCCTGTACGAATATCTAACATTGCTGCAAGGAATAGGTCCCAAATCTTTGCATCGTGTTTTAAAAATAAACCTTCTGTAGGCCAAGTGCAATTACAGTCAAGAGACGTCTAGACAGTGAGGCCACTCCTGTACCTGTTATCCTTTTTTTCTAAGTCGGGGCCCTAGTCGGTCTTCCCGCCTTCGCTTTCCTGCCCCGCCCCGCCCCGCCCAAGGGGACCTGCGTACTGTCAGGCGGCCGCCAGAGCAACTTCCTTCCTCTCCGGGCAAGATGGCGGGGGGAGAGGCTGGAGTGACTCTGGGGCAGCCGCACCTTTCTCGGCAGGATCTCGCCACCTTGGTGAGGTTTCGCTTAAGGAAGATGGAGAATGAACTCGGGTGTGGGGATAACTGATCCTCCCGGCAGGCGTTGAAACAAGGCAGTGCCGGAGTGTCGGGAGCGAGAGTTTAGGAGGCAATCCCGAAGCCGGGCTCCCTAACCCGCGCTCCCGCCTGTCCTCTGTGGGTCCATGTGAGCTAGGAGTGGGGCTGTGCGATCGTGGGACCTCGAGTTCCTTAAAAATTTGGCTAAGTCTTGGTATTGGATGTCACTAGGGTTCTCACCTATGATGGGTCTGGGTGTCTATATTGCCCTCACTACGCTGAGGACAAGCGAAGGCCCTAAGATTGGGGGCCTCCGGCCTTCAGACCCCCTGTAGTGAGGTTAGGAGGCTTGTGCTGTGAAATAATGAAGGGCTCTTAGGGCTTCCCAACTATTAGAATACAATATCACTTATACAAGAAAGGCGCTTTAAAGAAGAGAGTTCCAAAGATGGTAGTGAACTGTACTGTACATAGCGAATGTAAAGTCAAAGGAATGATTCTGATTTGTCTTAGGTACTAAGTTTTAAAATAAATGTATTTCATTGCAGGATGTTACCAAGTTGACGCCACTATCACATGAAGTTATCAGCAGACAAGCCACAATTAATATAGGTAAGATAAAAATGACTTCAAGTAATTTTGATATCTCCTTTTAATGTAATTATGTGAATAGTATGAGGATTTAAATATTTAAGAATAGATATTGAGGGCTGGGGTAGAGCGCTCACCTAGCACGTGGGAGACCCTGGGTACGATCCTCAGCACCACATAAAAATAAATAAATAAAGGTATCTTGTCCAACAACCACTAAACAATTTTTTTTAAATAAAAAAAAATAGAGATTGAGCTGGGTGCAGTGGTACACGCCTGTAATTCCAGCTACTTGAGAAGCTGAAGCAGGAGGATTGCTTGAACTCAGGAGTTTGAGGCCAGCCTGGGCAACTTAGTGAGACCTTGTCTCCAAAAGGGGGAGGGAGGGAAGCCCCATTTGAGCATTTGCTAGATTTTGGTGTGGATGGTGCAGGTAAAGAATGCTGCTCATGTAAAGCTGGGGTTGGTGGCACAGGCCAGTAATCCCAGGGGCTCTTCTTGTGAGGCTGAGGCAAGAGTTTGGCAAGTTTGAGGCCAGCCTGGACAATTCAGTGAGACTCTGTCTCAAAATTTAAAAATAATTTGGAATTTAGCTCAGTGATAGGGTAAACCTGGGTTCACTCCCTGGTCCTAGGAAAAAATAAAATACAAAGAGAAAAGAAATGCCCATGTTGAGTGTACAGACTACTTGAGAAGAAAAAATATAGACATATGAAAGTTTAATAGCATGAGGCAATATGTAATCATATGTGGCAGAAATTAAAGAGATGAAAATATAGCTCTTCTTGCCACACAGGGTTATTGAAAGGACAGAATTTATGAAATATTTAGTTGATACATAAGCTATTATTAAGTAGACTATTTTTCCCCCTTAATTGGCACCTAGAACTGTAGAGGAGAAGTTACACTGACAGTGTAAATTTTGGATATTTTGAGAGTCTGTACAAACAGCACAGTAAAACCTAAGACTCTACCATGAGGCTATGAAAAGTTATAAAGAATGTACTGTCCTTAACAGCACTGCTGTAATTAAACTTAGGTTGTTTCCTTATTTTCATGAATTCCTTTTTGTGATGTCTGGACTTGTTATACTTATTTACTTCATCAGTATGCTGGACTGTTTCTTCATAAAATATTAAGTATTTTTTATTGATTATTATTTTTTATTTTTTGCAGTACTGGGATTAAACTCATGGCTTCACACGTGCTAGGCAAGCATTCTACCACTGAGCTACATCCCCAGCCCTAAGATTATTAGTTACATGGAAAGTTTTCAGTTCTATATCAGAACAAGTGTTTAGTAGGAAATGATATGTAGTAAGAAAAATTGAAGTTGTTGGTTTTGCATTGACATTAATAGTGAATTGTGGGTTTGAGTTTTCTCCTCTTAACACTATTTGAAAGAAATACTTGGTATAATTGAATTCATTTGAGATAATTTTTGTTCTTTGTCTCTAGGTACAATTGGTCATGTAGCTCATGGGAAGTCCACAGTTGTAAAAGCCATTTCTGGAGTTCACACTGTCAGGTTCAAAAATGAACTAGAAAGAAACATTACAATCAAGCTTGGATATGCTAATGCTAAGGTGAGCTATATATTATGAAATTAGACACTATTTGTTTTTAATTATTGTTCAGATAACAACTTGAAATCATTTTCTTTTTCCACTCTTGAAACTTGTAGATTTATAAACTGGATGACCCAAGTTGTCCTCGGCCAGAATGTTATAGGTCATGTGGAAGTGGCACACCGGATGAATTTCCTACAGATATTCCAGGGACCAAAGGGAACTTCAAATTAGTCAGGTGACCACTTTTGTGTTAAAAAGTTTACACCTTTTATTCTGCTGTTGTGCTTTCTTTTTTTCTTTTTTTTTTTTAAGAAAACATTTGAGTTATTAAATAATGAACCTAACTGCTGAATGGTTTTCTTTTTCTTTTTTTCTGGGGAGGAGGTACCGGGGATTGAACTCTAACCCTAACCTTATCATTTCTGGCCAGGCACACAGTGGCACATGCCTATAATCCCAACTACTTGGGAGGCGGAGGCAGGAGGATCACAAGTTTGATTCCAGCCTGGAAAACTTACTAAGATCTTGTCCCAAATAATTTTTTTTAAGTGGTACTAGGGATGGAACCTAGGGCCTCATTTGTGCTAGGCAAGCACTGTACCACTGAGCTACATCCCCAACCTTAAAATATAAAAATTTTTAAAAAGGGCTGGGTATTCACAAGGCACTAATTTAAAACCAGAAAATGAAAACAACTAAGTAAATAGCAGAAAGATCAGTAGAGGGAAGGTAATGGGGAGGGAGGGGAAGAAAAGGAGAAGTACTAGAGACTGAATTGGAACAAATTGTATTCCATGCTTTTATAATTATGTCAAGTGAATCCTAATGTTATACATAATTAAAAAGAACCAATATTTTAAAAGAGACTAGGGATGTAGCCCAGTGGTAGAGTGCTTGCCTAGTATGCATGAAGCCCTGGATTCAATTGCTGGTACTGCCAAAAAAATAAATAAAAATAATAATAATTAAAGGTTCTGTAAACTAAAAATATTACATAAGCAGAATGGAAGAAAAAGAAACAATTCTGGGCTTTCTAAATTTCTTTTAAACATTTTCTTTTTAAGATAGAGGAACAAAGCCATTCTTAGTACTTTTCTACCACACATGTACTTATTCCTCATCTATTTTCTGAATGTTATTGCATATTCCAATTCTTTATCAGAGGACACTGATGTCTGTTTGATAATGACTATGGGGGATGCAGACAAGGAGATTTTAGATCAGGGCAGGGCTAAGATTAGGGAGAGGTGGATGAAGCCACTCTGGGCCCAAGATTTAGAAGTGGAGGGTAGGCTAAAAATCATGGAAATCAGTGTAAATGCTTTAATGTGGTGTTTTGTTTTGTTTTTGTTTTTAAACCTAGGGGCACTTTACCACTGAGCTATATTCCTAACCCTTTTATTTTGAGGCTAAACTGCTGAAGCTGTCCTCAAACTCAAGATCTTTCTCCCCCAAGCTTCTGAATAGCTGGGATTACAGGCATGTTCCACCATGCCCAGCACAAATTATTCAGATAATAGTCTTTATTCTATTAACACCATTTTTATATATCATTAGGTTTTGGCTTTCAAATCAGTGAGTGACATTCCCAGTGTATACTTTATACCAGTATTCTATATCATATTCACTTTGGGTTTGGGATTTTTTTGTCACTTCAGTTATTTCTACATGTAGCTAATTTTATTTGCTTTGTAATGATCTGCAGTGATTTTATTCTCAGCAAGTAATCTTATTTCCAAAGTCTAGAAACACCAAGTTTTCTAACCATTTTTTATAGCAATAAGAATTCTGTTTACTATTGTCACATATGTAAGGAAAAAAAAAAGAATTCTCTCCTAGGTCAGGTGTGGTGACACAAAGTTTAAGAGGCTGAGGTAGGAGGATTACAGGTTTGCAGCCAGCCTCAGCAACTTAGTGATACCCTATCTTAAAACAAAACAAAAAAGAGCTGGGTGTGTAGTTCAGTGGTAGAGCACTCCAGGTTTAATTGCCAGTACCATCAAAAACAACAGCAAAAAATATTTTCTAAGTGATTTAACTTTAAAGAAATCTACAATTTGTATTTGTAAGTATTCATTGATCTGAAAACTGTCATTTCTCAATTGTTAGACATGTTTCCTTTGTTGACTGTCCTGGCCATGATATTTTGATGGCTACTATGCTGAATGGTGCAGCAGTGATGGATGCAGCTCTTCTTTTGATAGGTAAATACATCAGAATTTGTTTGAACTAGTCAGTGTGGAACAAATCCAAGGTGGAATATTTAAAGAGGAACTAAGGCCTCTAAGGGCCATAGCCGTTGCCTGAGGGTAATATGAATGAGAACTAACATCATCCAGGATGACATTCCTACCTTGCAAGCTATTACAAAAGACTAATCAAGATAGACCTGGGGCTAATAGTTTCTGTGAATTCTTATCATAGTATCCAAAAGAATAAAGGTCAATAGTGTGTTTTCCCCATCTAGGTCACATAAGGTGGTTTATTATTTTAGCTTAAAATTTATGTTAGAAGTATATTGATACTTGGCAACAATATTCAGGACTTTTGCCTTGAGTAAGGCTAGAATATTCTAACGTTTCCTTTATTGGATGCCAGTGCTGCTTTTTTTCCCCCATAGGTGGTGATGAAGTAATCACATAACAAAATTTATCATTTTAGCCATTTAAAGTATAAAATTAAATGGCATTAAGTACTTTTACAGTGTTGTATAATGTAGTGATTGTAACAGTACTATTATCTAGTTCCAGAACATTTTCTCCACAAATGGAAACTCCATGCTCATTAAGCAGTCACTTCCCAATCCCCTTTCTCCCCAGCCCCTAGCAACCAATAATATGCATTCTACCTCTGAATTTGCCTGGTCTGGATGTTTCTAACTATACTTATACATCTTTTTTATTCTTCATCAACTAGCTGGTAATGAATCTTGTCCCCAGCCTCAGACTTCTGAACACCTAGCTGCTATAGAAATCATGAAACTGAAGCATATTTTGATTCTACAGAATAAAATTGATTTGGTAAAAGAAAGTCAGGCTAAAGAACAGTATGAACAAATCCTTGCATTTGTACAAGGTAAGAAGCCATAATATCTAACAAAACCAAGAATCATTTTGAGACATTTAATCCAGCCACTAGATATTAATTTTGAATAAAGGACACTTACCTAAAACAAGGTAAATTTCAGGGTCTGAAGCCTTAATTTCTGTACTAGTATTTGTTAGCAACTTGATGTAACTAGCAATGTATGTGTTTTTGAATTTGATATGCTAAAATATATTTTTGTTGGCTGAAAGTTAGAAATGAAGTTATATTCTAGAATCTTTCATCAGATTTTAGAAAAAGTCCTCAGTGGTAGAGCGTGCATAAGGCCATGGATTTAATCCTTGGCATGGGCGGGGGCTTAATGATAGTAGAATGAATAAAGTGTCCCTTTCTCTAGCAGCATCATGTTTTTTATTTCAGGGAAGACATGATGCATCTCATTGTTCACATTTGATTCTCTCTTAGAATCTTGTTTTTCTTATTTGAAAGATTAGCTTCCTATCAACCCAGTTCTGTCACCATGAAAAAGAAGTCATTTTGATTAAAATCTGATTATGTTTGGTCTATTTCTTTGACCAGTCTTTTAGACGTATAATTAATAAGGAGCAAATATTATATATGCCAGCAGTCTTTGATTAGCAAAGAGTCTGTAATTTTATCTTAACATTTATTAGGAAGTTAATTACATGTTATTAGAAATCTTTTCAACAAGTACTCTTTCCCAGGAGTGTTAGTAAAGGAAATAGTATTCCTTTTCAGTAGTTAAAACAATGGTGAAATATTATCATCTTTCCAAACAGAATTATTGCTTTCTACTTATTGCTGGCATTTGTGTGGGGTTGTTAGGCTTCTATTTTAGTAATCTTGTTTTATGTAATAGATGCATAGAACAAGTTTATTAAAACTGAAGAATTTTGATCTTTCTTAATTTTGCCATATAGGTACAGTAGCAGAAGGAGCTCCCATTATTCCAATTTCTGCTCAGCTGAAATACAATATTGAAGTCGTTTGTGAGTACATAGTAAAGAAAATACCAGTACCCCCAAGAGACTTTACTTCAGAACCCCGACTTATTGGTACGTGATAGGAGTCATCTTTAACTGTGTGTATATGTGTGTTTGTCTTTCTCTCTCACTGAGGATTCTACTCAGGGCCTGGAGCATGCTAGGTAAACTCTCTACTATTGAGCAACATCCTCAGCCCTTTATTTTGAGACAGTCTCACTAAGTTTCCAAGGCTGGCTGCAAATTTGTGATCCTCCTTCCTCAGCCTGCCAAGTAGCTGAGACAACAGGCATGTTCCACTATGTCCAACCAATCTTTATCTCTTATTTTGGCCTTTTCCATTAGTGATTCACCTTTATAAGTGTTTATTAATATTTCCTCTTTCTACAGAGGGATAATAAAGACATAAAAAATTTTTGAAATTGATTAATTCTGAGATAGTGTTGGCAATGTTAGATTGTATTGCTGTATGAGGAACAGAATCCTGAGTGCTATAGAAACTGTTAACCTTTTTTTATTTATTTTTAAATATTTATTTTTCAGTTGTAGTTGGATACAATACCTACCTTTCTTTCTTTCTTTCTTTCTTTCTTTCTTTCTTTCTTTCTTTCTTTCTTTCTTTCTTCATTCATTCATTCATTCATGTAGTGCTGAGGATTGAACCCAGGGCCTTACCTATGCTAGGCGCATGCTCTACTGCTGAGCCACAACCCCAGCCTCCACAATAATTTATTTATTTTTATGTGGTGCTGAGGATCGAACCCAGGGCCTCGCACATGCTAGATGAGCACTCTACTGCTGAGACACAACCCAACCACGCTGTTAACCTTTTTGATACTCAGTTTATGGTATGTTATGTGACCAACATGAAATTATAATGTTTTTATATTTTCCATACAAATGATGTCACTGTACCATTAATGAAAAACTAATCTTGGTGTAATTTGATCATCTAAGTTTGTGGTTCCTACAAAAAAATATAGGAGCTTTTTCAAAATAGACATTTGAGCCTCTTTAGGTCTTCATTTTGGGTTCCTGTGTTGTTTGGCAGGAAAAGTGCTCTTGAGTGACCGTATAGGTCATGTAGTCTTAGAGTTGTTTTGTAGTTTTGCAGAAGTCACATAATACAGAAATTCCTTATATAAAATGGCATAGAATTTGCATATAATCCACCCACATTGTCCTCTATATTTTTTGTAGTGCTGGGATCAAACCTAGGGCTTCATAAATGTTAGGCAATCATTGTACCACTGAGCTGTAACCCTAACCCCTCCTGGATACTTAAAAGCATCTCTAGGTTATTTGTAGTATCTAATATATTATAAATGAGGTATAAATAGTATTGTTCAGGGAATAAGACACCCTCCCCCCCAAAAAAAACTGTATGTATTCATTACAGACTCTTGATTTTTTTTTTTTTTAATCTGCCAGGCATGGTGGCATATACCTGAAATCCCAGCAACTCAGGAGGCTGAGGCAGGAGGATCAAAAGTTCAAGGTTTACTTTGGAAAAAATAAAAAGGGCTTGGGATATAACTCAGTGGTAAAGGCCCTAGGTTCAATCCCCAATACTCTCCCCACCCCAGTAAATAAATAAAACAACATTTTTTGAACTGTAGATGGTTGAAATTCACAGACATGGAACTCTCAGATATGAAGAGCCAACTTATACCTCTTTTTTCTTTTTTTCCCCCCGATCTTTAATTTTTAAAAAATTTATTTCGATCTAAGAGAAATTAAAAGACTGGCCTTAGCTTCTGTCTTCCTTTGTGAGAACAAATCATAATGATGGGCTATTATACAAAATTCACATTGCTAGTCATAAAAATTATAGCATGAGGGTATATTATAATTACACTTAGAAATTTCCTAGAAATGAAGACTAGTGTATCTACCTCTTACATAACACAAAATATAGATGATGATGCCCCCACAAAATAGCATCCAATACTTAGGTACTTCAGCAGAAGTACCCTTTTTCATTCAGTTATTAAAACATGAGCAACACACCTGAAAATTAGCCAGCTGAGTTTCACCTGGAATAGAAGATAGAGGAATTCAGAGCTAATAAATATTCTCAGTGCAAGTAGACACAAGTTAAAAGTATGCATTTAGTCCAATACATTACTGGAGATATCCTTAGTTTTTTTTTTTTTTTTTTAAACTTTGAGTCAGGGTCTTGCTGAGTTGCTGAGGCTGGCCTTGAATTTAATATCCTCCTGCCTCAGCCTCCCAAGTTGCTGGAATTATAGGCATGTGCCGCCATGACCAGCCTCCAATATTCTTATTTATTTATTTAGTACCAGGGATTGAATCCAGGGGAGCCTAACCACTGTACCACATCCTCAGCCCCTGTTTTGTTATTTGAGACAGGACCATGCTAAGTTGTTGAGGCGGGCTTTGAACTTGGGATCCTCCTGCCTCATCCTCTGGAGCTGTTGGGACTACAGGCCAACAGCCTGTATTTTTTTTTTAATAGCTTAAATGGTATTCTATTTTTGAAAAGTTAACATGAAAAGAATATTTCTTATAAAGTTTAAATTAATAGAAATAGCTTTAATTTGTTTTCTTTTAGTTATTAGGTCATTTGATGTCAACAAGCCTGGTTGTGAAGTTGATGACCTTAAGGGAGGTGTTGCTGGTGGAAGTATTCTGAAAGGAGTATTAAAGGTAAGGTAGGCTTGAGTTGTTATTGTTTTTGTTTCACCCTGTCTTAAGAAAAAGGATGAATAATCCAAGTTGAATAAAATGGTTTATGGTGTTCGTTATTTGATATAAATTTGTTTGCTTTTATGTCTTTGTAATGTGTCTTAACCTCTAAATTTATAGGCTTCTTGTAAGTATGAAGCACATTTTATGTGGTGATGGGTTTGTTTGGTAGGTAGTAACATGAGTGGTTCTGATTTTGAAGGTCTCTTCCACATTTATTTTTCCTTTTATTAAAATGGTGATCTTTGAAATAGAGGAAGGTTTGCCGTTTTGGTTTCATGGTCTTACTGTTAGAACTTTAGATAGATAAATGATAATTGTGTTAATTCATAGTAATTTTCATTACTGATTATATTTACAGGTGGGCCAGGAGATAGAAGTCAGACCGGGTATTGTTTCCAAAGACAGTGAAGGAAAACTCATGTGTAAACCAATCTTTTCCAAAATTGTATCACTTTTTGCCGAACATAATGATCTTCAATATGCTGCTCCAGGGGGTCTTATTGGTAAGGATTTCAACCTCTCATCCCTTTTCTTTTAATTTGTAGATATTCGTGATACTTTTCATGGGAAATAGATTACTCATAAAGCTATATTGTAGTGTTTTTTTTTTTTTTTTTTTTATTGAACCTAGGGGCATTTTATCACTCACTGTCTATACCCTGGCCTGTTGATTTTTTAATTTTTTGAGCACAGGACCTTGTTGTACTGCCCATGTTAACCTTGAACTCCTGGATTCAAGTAGTCCTCCTGCCTTAGCCTCATGAGTAGCTGGAACTGTAGGCACATGCCACAACAGTACCTAGCTTATACTTTTTTTTGTAGGGGCATGGTGAGAGAGTGTTTGGGTTTTATTTTTTGTTTTTGGTGGTTTTATGTCTGTGTGCACACCTATTTGGGTTTGAGTTCAGCGCTTTGCATATGCTAGGTAAGTGCTCTCCCACTGAACTACATGCCCAGCCCTCTTCATATTTTGTTGTTGAGACTGGCCTTGAACTTATGATCCTCCTGCCTTAGTCTCCTGAATAGCTGGAATTATAAACATGCCCATGCCCAACTTCAGAGTGGGAGAGTGGTTACTTTTTGTGTGTGTTTTGCAAATGGAAAGTTACTCAAAAATGTCAGTCAAATAATGTTTACACTGGGCTGGGGTTGTGGCTCAGTAGTAGAGTGCTCACCTGGCACATGTGAAGCTCTGGATTCTATTCTCAACACCACATAAAAATAAATAAATAAAATAATAAAGGTATTTTGTCCAGCTACCAAAAAATAATAATAATATTTACATTGATGTGGGAATAAAAGAAGGTAACCTCTAAGTGGGTGTGACTGCGTGCACCTGTAGTCCTAGGTACTTAGGTGACTGAAGTTGAATGATCACTTGAGCAAGGGGTTCAGGGCCAGGGTGGGCAATGTAGTGAGACCATGTCTTTTTTAAAAAAAAAAAAAAAAAAAAAGTAACTTTCCCTGTGTAGGAAATTACTCAAAGTTGTGGGGGTTTTGGAGGGGTTTTTTGTTTGTTTGTTTGTTTAGTGGGGGGATAATGGGGATTGATCTCAGGGGAGCTTTACCACTGAACTACATTCTGTCCTTTTTTAAAAAATATTTTTTAGTTGTTAAATACAGTATCTTTATTTATTTTTATGTATTGCTGAAGATAGAACCCAGGGCCTCAAATGTGCTAAGTGAGCACTCTACCGCTGATCCACAACTACAGCCCCTTGTTTTTTGAGATAGGGTCTCACTTCTTACTAAGTTTGCTAGGTTGATGAGGCTGGCAAAGGTCTGGTAGCTCAATGGTAGAGTGCCCCTGGGTTCCCTCCCCAGTGCCAGGGAAAAAAGTGAAGATTCAGCAAATATTAGGGCTATTATCATATCTTTGGATTAAAGAAGAAAATGTTGGGTGAAAAAGCAGTTTAATTTTCACCAAACAAATTGATGCTCTGGTTTTTTACTATATAGTTCATTTTTCTATTATATCCTGTTATTGAGATTATTGCATAAAGTTTTACCTTTTGTGGAGAAGGAAATTCTGGAAACTTTTTTCAGACATGGTCTCACTGAGTTGCTTAGGACCTTGCCAAATTGCTGAGGCTGGCTTTGAACTTGAAATTCTCCTGCTTCAGCCTCCCAAGATGCTGAGATTATAGGCATGTGCCGCGGCACCCAGCTTGGAAACATTTTTTTATAATGTAATTTATGGTGTGGTGGCATATGCCTGTAATCTCAGATATTAGGGAGGCTGAAGCAAGAGGATCTTAAGTTCAACCAGTCTCAGCAATTTAGTGAGACCTTGTCTCAAAATAAAAGACTGAAAATGTACCTCAGTGGTAAAGTGCCCCTGTGTTTCAGTCCCTGGTTTAAAAAAAAAAAAGAATGTAATTTATGGAACTCTTCAAACTTAACAATAGAAAGTAGAATATTGTAATGATAATCTTCATGTAGCAGCCATTCAGCTTATAGCCTCACTAAATTGCTGGAGCTGTCTTTGAACCTTCGATCCTCCTATCTCAGCCTCCTGAGCCTCTGTGATTACAGGCTTGGGCCACAGCACCTAACTAAGCTAGCTTTTTGATCAACCTTCCAGGAATTGGCATGCGAATATTCTGCAAATTACTGAATTTTTTCTTTTTTTTTTTTTCCCTAATCCTGGGGATTGAACCAAAGGGTATATTCTACCTCTGAGGTATATCCCCATGTATATCTTTTTATTTTTTATTTTGAGGCAGGGTCTCACTAAGTAGCTGAGGCTGGCCTTAAACTCAATATCTTTCTGCCTCAGTCTCCTGAGTTAACTGGAATATCAGGCGTGTCGCTGTGCCTGGCTCAATTTATCTTTTCAAATTTCATTAAGGATATTCAAACTCAATTTGTATCAGGTTATTATCTCTATTTGCCTTTTGTTTAGAATTTAACAAATAGAATTTTTCTGTTCTCAGTTGCCCAAAGGACCTGTGAGTTTACAATTCTTTGTCCTCAGATGAAGCAGGTATTTTGTTATTCCTATGTAGCTGTTATATGGGCATGAAAATACAAGTGTGTATTAATATGTGTAGAAGTACACCATGCTTAGCTGGGCGCGGTGACGCGTGCCTGTAATCCCAGTGGCTTGTGAGGCTGAGACAGGAGTATTGCAAGTTCAAAGCCAACCTCAGCAACAGGGAGGTGCAAAGCAACTTAATCAGACCCTGTCTCTAAATAAAATACAAAATAGGGCTGGGGATGTGGCTCAGTAGTCGAGTGCCCCTGAGTTCAGTCCCTGTTACCCCCCCCCCCAAAAAAAAAAAAAAAGAAATATACTACGCTTGTTTGACTAAGTTTTGGGCAAATAATTTACTTTATAAGTGTTTCAGGGTTATGTCCATATTATTTTACATTAGGAGTTGGAACAAAAATCGACCCCACTTTGTGCCGTGCTGACAGAATGGTGGGGCAGGTACTTGGTGCTGTTGGAGCTTTACCTGAGATTTTCACAGAATTGGAAATTTCCTATTTCCTGCTTAGACGACTTCTAGGTGTACGCACTGAAGGAGACAAGAAAGCAGCAAAGGCAAGTGCTCTTTGTAATTTCTTTCTCCAAAAAAGTGGCCATGATGTTAAACCCAGTTTTTAGTTAACATAGAAATAAGGTAAATTATTTTTGATTTCTTGAAAACAAATTATTTTGATTTCTTGAACAACTATGTGGCAATCAGCCTAAGGTTAAAAAAAAGAGAAAGGGAAAAGAATTTGTGTCATGTATGACATAGACATTATATTCCTAATATCCTTGTGTTTCAGTAAGAATCTGTAGAAAAAGGAAAAGAAAGGTTGAGGGGAGATCGCATGAAAATCAAAAGGAGATTAGTAGAATACAGGAAAGAGATGGGGGAGGGAGAAGGGGCAGGAAAGGGGAGGTACTGGGGAAACAACCATGTGTGGTAGGTGGTAGCAAATTTTAAAGAGGCTCAGAGAGTTCAGTTGCTGGCTTAGACACATGAGTTGAATTGGATCTCCAGAATCATCTTATTAACTCTTCTTCTGAAATAATTTTTTATTGGTGCATTATAGTTGTACATAATAATTGGGTTTGTTACATACTCATACATGCACATGATATTAACTCTTACATAGCCATTTTCCTGCCTTGCCCCACTTAGGAAATTTTGTATCTCATCTCTACTATAGGTTGTTTATCCTTAATTTAAAAATCTGAGGTCCAAAGTCCAAAACTTTTTTAGGCACCAACATGATACCATAAGTGGAAGATGCCACAAGTGGAAAATTCCACACCTAACCTTATGTGATAAGTCATAGTCAGAATACAGGTGCACTAAAAATATTGTATAAAATTTCTTTTAAGCTATGTGTATAAGGTTTATATAAAACAATTGAATTTTGTATTTAGACTTGTGTCCCATCCCCAAGATAAGCTTATTATGTGTAGGCAAATATTTTAGACTCCCAAAACATCATCCAGAACGCTTGTATTTCTAGGCATTCCCAGTAAAGGGTACACAATTTCATTCTGTATAGAAGTTCTTCAGAATTTTAGGAGGTTTTATGCTGTAGCTACTAGCTTATTTTTTTAAAGTAGATTTTGTGTGAAATCAGCATGTGCTAAATCAACTAGTTTGTTATCTTTAGAGTATATTATAGTTCACATTTCATTATAATGAAATTTCTGTAGAATTTTTTTTCTTTTATAATTGTCTTGCCCCACATGTTTTCCTGGTACACTGTAGTCATACATAATTGTGGGGTTATAATTATCTTAATTCCAAAAATATTTGGTAAATCCCCACTCATTCTTGGAAAGCATGTTTTTGATTTTGGGATTTGTTCTTCCCTAATTTGTTTCCATAGGTCCAAAAACTGTCTAAGAATGAAGTGCTCATGGTGAACATAGGATCACTGTCAACAGGAGGGAGAGTTAGTGCTGTCAAGGCTGATTTGGGCAAAATTGTTTTGACTAATCCTGTATGCACAGAAGTAGGAGAAAAGATTGCCCTTAGTCGAAGAGTTGAGAAACACTGGCGGTAAGTTTATTAGCCTTTGCCAATGTAAGGATCAATTTCCTTAAGTTCATGGTGGTATAAACACAGATGCACATTCTTTGAACACAATAGTTAGTGTAGCTTTAGCTCTCAACTATTTGTTTTGATGACTTTGAAAACTATTTGTAGCCTCCATTTGTAGTCCCATATTTTAGTCCAGATACTACAGGTGGTTTCCCTAGGCAAACACCAGTGAATTTAGAGTCAATAGTTCCATTGTTGTTTTTTATTATTATTATTATTATTATATTTATTTTTGGTGCCAGAGAATGGACCCAGGGACTTGTGCATATTAAGCCTGCCTTCTACTGAGTTTTACCCCTAGTCTGTGGCTATTTATTTATTTATTGGTACCAGGGATTGAACCCAGGAGCACTTTACCACTGAGCCACATCCCCAGCCCTTTTCTATATTTTTATTTAGAGATAGGGTCTCTTTGAGTTTCTTAGGATCTCACTAATTGCTGAAGCTGGCTTTAAACGCGTGATCTGTGATCCTCTTGCCTCAGCCTCCTGAGCCACTGGAATTTCAGGCATGTACCACTGTGCATGGCCTGTCTTTGCCTTTTTAAAAACTAAACAGGGAAATCACAAGAATTGTACAGAAAATTCCTATATACTCCTTTCTCAGACACAAGCACATACACATTTACATATATATATATATATATATACACACACACATGTGTATGTATATGTATGTGTGTGTTTGTATAATAGTTGTCAATTAATTTTCTTTTTTTTTTTTATTTATTTATATGCGGTGCTGAGAATCAAACCCAGTGTCTCACATGGTAGGCAAGTGCTCTATCACTGAGCCACAATCCCAGCCACAGTATATGTATAACTTTTTAGAGCTGTGGGTAGCTTGGTGGTAGAGTACTTGCCTAACATGTGAAAGGCACTGGGTTTGATCCCTGGTATCAAAAACAAAACAAAACAAAGCTGGGCATGGCAGTGCACATCTGTAATCCTAGCAGCTCCAGAAGCTGCGGCTGGAGGATCATGCATTCAAAGCTAGCCTCAGCAAAAACGAGGTGCTAAGCAACCCAGTGAGACCCTGTCTCTAAATAAAAATACAAAATAGGGCTGGGGATGTGGTTCAGTGGTTGAGTGCCCCTGATTTCAATCCCTGATACCCAAACAAACACCACCAAACAACAACAAAGATACAAAAATGTACATATTGGGGAAGTACGTTGTGTGTGTCATTCTCCTTGATCTATTATATTAAACTTCATTTCTATTTCCAAAAAACAAAGATATTCTCTTTCATAACCACTTTAAGAAATTTAACATTGACAAAATACTAAAATCTATACCCCATATTCCAGTTTTATCACTTGTTCCAATAATAACCTTTATAGACCTCCAGTCTAGAATCTTGGGTTACATTTAGGTTTTGTGTGTCTTTGATCTCTGATCTAGAACTTCTTCAGCCTTTCTTTATCTCTCTCTCTTTTTAAAACCAGGCCACTTAACCGCTGAGACACATCCCCAGCCCTTTTTATATTTCATTTAGAGACAGGGTCTCACTAAGTTGTCTAGGGCCTCACTGAGTTGCTGAGGCTGGCTTTGAGCTCATGATCCTCCTGTCCTTAATCTCCCAAGCCTCTGGGATTACAGGTGTGGACCAACATGCTCAGCTCTGTCCCCATAATTTTGTTGCTCATATTTTTTTTAGTTATCCATGGACCTTTTATTATATGAGTATTGAGAATGGAACCCAGTGCCTTATACATGCTAGGCAAGCGTTCTACCACTGAGCCACAACCTCAGCTCTCCCCATAATTATTCTAATCACCCTTGACTCTTTTCTGTCCTCACCGCCTACCTCCTCTGTGTGTGTGCAGGAGGGCAGGGGGTTACTGGGGATTGAATCCAGGTTCTTGCACATACTAGGCACACACTGTGCCACTGAGCTATATCCTCAGCCCATCTACCTCCTTTAATTAAGGCTTGATAGTAGGCCCTTGATGGTCTCTTATTACTTACTGTTCAGAAGTTTGACGAGTTAAAGTTTTTGTTGTATTTTAAGAAAATAATTCTGCTTTGTCATATTTTGTGTCTATTTGATTTTATTCTTTTGTGTGGTTATACTAATCAAACAAAAAACCTACATAAAATAAAAAGGGCTGCAGTTGTAGCTAAGTGATAGAGTGCTTGCCTGGCAAGCCCAAAGTCCTGGGTTTAATCCCTAGTACCACAAAAAACTCAACATGGAACTATGTTATTATCACTTGTTGAATGTTTCATTTCATAAACTTGAACATATTTTTAAATAAAGAGTATATTTGGGACTTTCCACTAATATTACAAGAGGATTCTATCCAAATAAAATTGGCAAGTATATTAAAATCCCAATAAGAAAAAAGAGCATCTGAATGATCCTTTATTTATTTTGGTACTGAGGATTGAACCCAGAGATGCTTTAACACTGAACTACATCCCAGTCCTTTTTTTGAGACAGGGTCTCAAAGTCATCAAGGCTGGCTTTGAACTTCGATCCTCCTGCTTCAGCTTATAAGTCACTGGTATTACAAGCATGTGTCAGCACTCCAGGCTAATCCTTTTATTTTTAAGAATTGTGGGTTTATCCATGTTTAGGTGGACTTTGTTCAAGAAGCTGCAATTGAGGTGACAACCAGCCTGGTCATTGACTAGGACAGACATTGAAAGAGGATGTAGAAGTCCCTTTGCTATCAAGAGTAATCAGTTTACCAGTGTCTCCAAAGGTTGAGGCAGGAGGATCACAAATTTAAGGCTAACCTTAGCAACTTAGTGAGGCCCTAATCAACTGAATGAGACCCTGTCTCAAAATGAAAATAAAAAGGGCTCGGTGGTTGGTAAAACACCTCTAGGTTTAATTCCCAGTACTGCGCCCCCCCCCAAAAAAAAAAAAACAAGACAAAACAAATCTGCTTATAGACTGAGTTCCTCTTGTTCTCTTAAATTTCCTTTACCATGTAGGGTCACACTAAATGCATTATGATCTGTTGAGGTGCTGAGTGATAGAAAAGCATTTTTCAAAGGGAACAGCATAGAATGAGGTTGTAAAAAATAATCAGACTGATGTGATTTAGGTATTGGCTTGATTCCTTCAGTGGAATAAAGAGCTCTTAGTTGGATCTGAAGGGTTAGGTATATTTTGATAGAGTGAAGACAAGTATATTCATGGTAGCAATTTTTGTTTGCTTTTCCTATCATGCTAGCCAGATCGTACCTGATTCTAAGAATATAAGAAATTAGTGTGCCCTTTCTTTATGGAGGAGCAGGCTGTGGGAACAAATTTGAATTTAGAAGATAGGCAGGTCCAACCAGTTCTATCATATAATTGTGTGGTGATGCTAATGAAATGGATGTAATATTCTTGATTTTTTCTATTTTCATTTTTCAGTTTAATTGGTTGGGGTCAAATAAGAAGAGGAGTGACAATCAAGCCAACCGTAGATGATGACTAAAGAATCCCAGTTAAATAATACATTTGGATGGAGCTGGAATTTCTCTTAACAACCTAGGGGTATATTTTCAGAGCAATACTATGGAATTAATTTCACAGCTCATTACCTTAGTAGGTAGCTGTAAGGTTATTCTCATTTTTTGATGATGAAAATTTAACCTGTAGCACTAATATAGTATCTACAATAAATGTGAAAATTGGTATGATGTTGGATTGAATCTACATTTTAACAGAAGTTAAACATTCCTAAGAAACGTATAATTTATACATCCATGCAGGTTTAAAATGAAACTGTTTGCCACACATCCAGCCTTTGCTGTAACATGCATGCCATGGAATCTGTTTGAAATAAAATTTTTCCTTTTCTTTTTTATGATTCTTTTCTGTAGCACCAGGCTGAAGGACTGTTACACCAGTAAAAACTGGAAGACACCGCCTCCCTTTGGCCCCATATTTTATGTTTTATCTTTGAAATTTTGAGAGAAAATGAAATCAATAAGTTCAGATAAAATTGCCTTTTTGAGCACACGTGCTCATTCCCATGACAAACGTTTCCTCTTATTATTTTCCTGGCCTAAAACATAGGAAACCAGAATCAGAAGTTCTCGCCCTCTCACCATGGTGCCCTGATATTATTTCTATGTTTGTTTATGCCTAAAACCTAACAGTCACTCATTGGAAATAATGTTAGACCAAATTATTCTAGATAACTAACAAAGATCTTTCCAGTCTTTACATTTGGAGGGGGTTTGTTGGTTGATAGGTTGCACTGCTGGGGATCTAACCTAGGGTCTCATGAGGCAAGTGCTCTACCACTGAGCTGTACCCCCTGCCCTGTTAGTTTCTTAACTACTTAGTTGGTATGATTATGAAATAGATTCTAATCTTAGTAATCTTTGGACTTTGCAAGAGATTAAAAGGTAAAAAAGCAAAAGGTGAGTCCTTTTAATTTTTAACACATTTTCCACGTCCCTGTATTCTTCCTGGTACTGTGCTTTTAAATTTTTATTTATTTATGATTTTGCTTCATAAGAGATTCTGTTTTTTTAAAACTCCCCAGTGTTGAGAAGTAGGCATATTAAATAAAAGTACCTCGAGCTGGGGATGTGGTTCAGTGGTAAGAGTGTTTGCCTAGCATGTGCAGGGTCCTTGGTTCAATCCCTAGCACCACCCCAAAAAAAAAATTTTTGGTAGTCTGATAATATGCTTTAGTTTGCTTTTCTTAAATCTACATTGAGATGAGATTTCATGCCACAGTCTGTCATATTATGCTCTTTTGGACATTGAAGTTGCATTGAAGAATTTTTGAAGCTGTGGGGTAGTAGGCTGTGATTTGTTAATGAGTTTTGAAGAAACATATTATTAATGTTACAATGCTTGATTGACTTTGAAGGGTTGTGCTGTATCAAAGGAACACATTTAAATAAAACAAGGTTTTAAATTTAGCAATTTTATATCTAATGTCCTCATGTGTTTTTTGGGGGGAGGAGATTGGGGGGTAGCATTGGTTTTACAGTACTGGGAATTGAACCCAGGGCCTCATGCATGTTGGGTAAGTGCTCCACCTCTGAGCTACATCTCCACCCCTTTTTATTTTGAGACAAGGTCTCACTGAGTTGCTGAGGCTGGCCTTGAACTTGTTATGTTCCTGCCTTAGCCTCCTAAGTAGCTGGGATTACAGGCATGCACCACTGTGTTGGGTCCTCTTGAATTTTGTAAACACTGTATATCAGAAATTCTGGAATAAGATAAGACCCAAAATATTGACTAATTTATTATAATTAATCTTGTGTCAGACTGAAACCAGAAATCTCTTGTAATTAATTTCAAACCTCCACATGAATTTTAACGACTTTGCAAAACACTGGGCTTAGCTTAATAAGTATATACAGATAGGAAAACAATGGACCTTATTGTCACAGAATTTGAAGTCAGTACAGTGATTCTCAGCAAAAGATGTACCTGGTCAAAAATCTACCTGAAAGGCAGTGTTCCTGATGAAGGTGTGTTGCATATGTAAATCCTCTTGGCTCTACCATCAGTATATTTTCAAATCTGACCAGTTCTCATCACTTCCATTGTTTACCACCATAGTCAAAACCACCAGTGACTTTCACCTGAACTACCCTGACTCCTCCCTGTTTCTGTGCTTGTCCCACTGCAGTCTGTGCTCAACACAGTAGTCAGTCATCCTTTTTGTAAGAGTGCTATGTATGACTCTAAAAATAAATTGTACAGTTAGCCTAACAGAAATAAGGGCTGTAAAAACAGTTTAGCCTGTGATATTATCCATATGACTCCCAGGCTGACCTGGAAAACTCTTATTTTACTCCTATGTAACCTCCAGAGATAGTATATGTGTGCACACTTGTTTTTTGCAGAGGAAAAAATTTCTAATAAGTGTGCAAATAACTACTCAAAATTTATGAAGTCTTTTCTAGAAAAGATTGAAATGATGATGCTTCCAATTAAATGGATGCTTTTCTAGAATACATATTTGTGTATGGTGCTGGGAATGGAGCTCATGGCTTCATGCATGGCAGGCAGGTGTTTTTCATTGAACTACATGCCCTGTTATATTTTTTTTTAAATTACCAAAGATAAAGCAGATATCCTTAACAGATTGGTACTCATAAGACAGGTTATTTTAAAATGACCACTCTACTGGGCATGGTGGTGCCCTTCTGTAATCCGAGCAATTCTGGAGGCTGAGGCAGGAGAATCATAAATTTAAGGTCGGCCTCAGCTAGCAAGGCCTTGTCTAAAAACAATTTTTTAAAAGATGGGAAATAGTCATTTTGATAATATTAATTATGCCTATCCAAGGGCAAGGTAGATCTTTCCATCTTTGACTTCTTTAGGGTTCTGTAATGACCATACATCCAAAAGCACTATACAGATTTAATGCAATTCTGATCAAAATCCCAATGATGTTCCTCATAGAAATAGAAAAAGCAATCATGAAATTCATCTGGAAAAAATGAGTCCCAGAATAGCTAAAGCAATGCTTAGCAAGAAGAGTGAAGCAGGTGGCATCACTATACCAGACCTTAAACTATAGTACAGAGCAATAGTAACAAAAACAGCATGGGGTTGGCACCAAAACAGACTGGTAGACCAATGGTACAGAATACAGGACACAGAGACTAACCCACAAAATTACAATTATTTTGTATTAGACAAAGGTGCCAAAAACATGAATTGGAGAAAAGATGGCCTTTTCAACAAATGGTGCAGGGAAAACTGGAAATCCATATGCAACAAAATGAAATTAAACCCCTACCTCTCACCATGCACAAAACTCAAAATGGATCAAAGACTTAGGAATAAAACCAGAGACCTTGTGTCTAATAGAAGAAAAAGTAGGCCCTAATCTCCATCATGTGGGATTAGGCCCCAACTTCCTTAACAAGACTCC